AGAGACCTTGCAGCTTCTGCGCTCTCTCAGAAGGAACCCAGAGACCACCTACCATGCCGTGAAAATGAAACACCATGCGGAGAGGCCCAGCCATCGTGGATGCGCCCACACACCAGCTGGGGGAGGCAACTAGCTGCATGAGTGAGGCTCATAGAGACCAGCAGAGCCACCGGACAACTTTCAGAGTCATGAAAAAGGCTGTGTTTTTAAGCCACTGTTTGGGGGTAATTTGTGACACAGCAATGGATAATCGATACAAAAGGACTTAGTGATTATTGGCTGTGGGGCAAGGAGGAAGATTCAGATGAACCGCAGGTTTCCCGCTTGAGCAAGATGCAATTGTCATACCATTTTATGAGGTAAGGTTGGAGGAAGAGCTGAGAGCAGAACACGGTTTTTTATTGGAGTGGTGGTGGTATGAGATGATGGACTCAGCGTTGGACATGTTGAATACAAGACATCCCAAGTGCAAGTGTCATGTGGGCAGTTGTTTCTATGACCCTGGAGCTCAACAATCAGGTCTTGGTATATATCTGAGTCACAAGCAGAAAAATAAAGCTGCAGAAATGAACAAGATTGCCTGTGGCAGAGAAAAGGAAGAAATGGCCCAGAACAGAGACATGAGGAATAGTCACATTTAAGGAGGAGTCGGAATTTAAAAACTAAAAAAAACTAAGGAGTCTGCCAAGGAGACTGAGAAGTGGTCAGAGAGTAAGGAGACCATACAGGCAGGTTAGCACTTTTGCTTAGAGCGTGGTGCTGATAACACCAAGGTCCAGGGTTCGATTCCCGTGCCAGCCGGGGGGAAAAATAAGACACCAGTGAGGTGTGTCACTTTAGTGACCAGAAAAGTGGCTAGAGAAAGGATTGTCCATAGTGTAAAATGCTGCTGAGAAGTCAAATGTGATAATGACTAAAATGTGTTTTTGTTTTTGTTTTTTAAAAGATGACTGGTGGGCCGGCCCGGTGGCGCACTCGGTAGAGTGCGGCGGCGCTCCCACCGAGGGTTCGGATCCCATATAGAGACCGGTAGGCTCACTGGTTGAGCGCGGTGCGGGCGCGACACCGAGGGTTGCAATTCCATTGCCGGTCACGAAAAAAGACAAAAAGGTAAAAAAAAAAAAAGATGACTGGTAAGGGGATCTTAACCCTTGACTTGGTGTTGTCAGCACCACACTCTCCCAAGTGAGCTAACCGGCCATCCCTGTATACGGATCCGAACCCATGGCCTTGGTGTTATCAGCACCACACTCTCCCAAGTGAGCCACGGGCCAGCCCCTAAAACGTGTTTTTTGGATTAGGGTCCTGTAGGTCACCAGTGTCCTTGGTGAAAGCTATTTCAGTGGAACAGTGGGGCAGAAGTCAGACTGCAGAGGGATGAGGACTAGGACTGAATGTGTAAAGGCAACACTTACAAGACTTTTGACCATTAAGGAGAAATACAAGGTTGGAGGATGAGGAATAGAGGGAGGGTTGGATTTTTTTTAATTTTTATTTTTTGCTGCTGGCTGGTAGGGGGATCTGAACCTTTGGGTTGAATTTCAAAGAGTCATCAGATATGAACATGTTAAAGTACCAATGAGAAAGAGCTAATGGGATGGGAGAGGTTGGAAATAAGAGGGGAGAGTTGACAAGGCAAGTCCTTAAAAAGCCAGGAGAGGGAATTTGATGGATTGGTAGAGATATTTAGGTAAGAATAGGGATATATCTCCCATTGGAACACGAAGGAGAGGGAAGAATAGATGCGCTTGGAGGAAGGTCTGGTGGTGGAAGGTTGAGGGAGTTTCCATCTGTTGGCCATTTTCCTGGAGTAGGGAGATTATCTGCTGACAGCTGAGAGAGATTGGGGGGTTGGAAGTTTGAAGTGAGTGAAAGTCTTGAAATAGTCACTGTGGAGTGGGAGTGGGGTGGGGGGAGTTAACAGGAAGATCCATGTGGCTAGAGGCTCTTCCTGAAGTTGTCCCCTCCATTGATGTTAAATATGAAATTAGATGAATAGAACAATATTTAATTTGTCTCTCTGATATAATCCTACTAGTTTAAGATATTGACATAACAATGCCTGAACACTGGGACCTGGTCTTTGTTAAATCTGGACTCAAATGACTTGGTTTATCATGACAATTTCCATGCAAATTTAGCAGCTATTGGTGTCTGAGAGGAAAATAGGCCAGAGAACACTTAGCACACTTGGCCACAGAACCTGACCAGAGGCTGACTCATGTCCTTTCAAGTCTAAGTAGGAAGAGGTTTGCTCTCAGGGATAAGCTAAGAACCTAAGACCATTTGGCTATTCTCCAACTGGGAAATTCCAAGGATGCTGGAAGCACACGGATGAGGACAAAACAGAATAGTTGCAAAGACTCACAAAGATGTGTAGGACTTCTAGGAGAGTTCCATCTAGACATCCTCTTCCTTCCACTTTCCACCCCTGCAAGAGCTGGATGTAGTCCTGGGCTACAGGGCTGCATAAATGAAAGGTCTGAGCTCCCCCCACCTATGAGGTATGCCTAAGACAGAGGGATGAGCGTCTCATCTGAGCGGCCGATGTCCCAGACAGCCACCACTCTCAGGATTCATCTAACATTATTTTCATCCTCTACTTCACTAGACCTACTATGGGGAAGCTCCTTGCCCAGCTGAACACTAATGCCAGCACAGTTTTTAAGCCAAGGCAGAAGCATCTAACACCCCCACCTGGCCTCTAACTTCCCACTAGGAGTTTGAAGCTGTTCTGGGGAAGTCCTATCCATATTCAGGATTAAGAAAGCAGGATATGGGAGGCTCATGAGGTGTTAGTCCCTCAGGTTGCCCTCACCTCCATTATGTCATTTTTGGAAGATACTGCAATCTTTTTTTTTTTTTTAAGATGACCGGTAAGGGGATCTTAACCCTTGACTTGGTGTTGTCAGCACCACGCTCAGCCAGTGAGCGAACCGGCCATCCCTATGTAGGATCCGAACCCGTAGCCTTGGTGTTATCAGCACCGCACTCTCCCGAGTGAGCCATGGGCAGGCCCAGGAAGATACTGCAATCTGAGAGAGGCAACAGAATAAGGAACATTTATTCTCAAGCAGAAAAGCAAAGTCATGTAAAACTGAAGAGGGGTTCCCAAGAATCTGATATCTATGCTCAAGACCAACAGGACAAGAAGAAACCTGAAGAGGGCCCCTAAAATCTACAGCAGCTTGGGTGGTGTTGATGGAGAGGGGCCAGTCCCTTCTTGCAAAGGTGACAGGCCTGACATCATACATGCTATGTATGAGACTCAACCCTGATGCCATCTGTTTTTTCCAAACTTTCCCTGAGGGTTTCTTCCCCAGAATTACTTTGTATAGTGAATCTATTTTTTAAGAGCCACAAATGCTTTCCTGCAATAGCAAGAAGAAGGTGTAAAAGCCTAGCGTCCCTCCTCAGTAACGTCCCTCCAGTGCATTCCTTTTTCTATATTCTCAACACAACCAATGACATCTTGGCACTTTCTGTGTGATGGAACTGATACAATCAACTTCTGATTTCTCAGTTGCCAGTGTTTTCCACCTCCTGTATACTTCTGCTAGACCAATTTTCCCCCCAAAACAATTTCATCTTAAATTTAAAAAACAATTTTAAAAAAATTTCAAAAAACAATTTCATCTTAAATTTACCCTTCTTTTTTTTTTTTTTTTATCTTAAGATGACCGGTAAGGGGATCTTAACCCTTGACTTGGTGTTGTCAGCACCACGCTCAGCCAGTGAGCGAACCGGCCATCCCTATGTGGGATCCGAACCCGGGGCCTTGGTGTTATCAGCACTGCACTCTCCCGAGTGAGCCACGGGCCGGCCCCTTAAATTTACCGTTCTGTGATTTGAGAATCTATGACCATTTACTACTAAATCCAAATACCATTTGCTATGATTTGAATGATGCTGTACCATCCAAAGTTCACATTGAAACTTAATCCCCAATGCAACAGTACTGAGAAGTGTGGTCTTTTGGAAGTGATTAAGTCATGAGAGCAGAGCTCTTAGGAATAGGATTAGCACCCTTATTAGAAAGGCTCCGGGTTGAAGGGAGCACTCTCTTGCCCTCTGGCCCTTCTGCCATGTGAGGACACAACATCCCTTCCCTCCTGAGGATGCAGCAACAAGGCACAATATTGGAAACAGAGAGCAGCTCTCACCAGACACCAATCCCACTGGCACCTTGATCTTGCACTTCCCAACCTCCAGAACCATGAGAAATACACTTCTTGTTCTTTATAAATTACCCGGTCTCAGGTATTTGGTTACAGCAGCACAAACAGACTAAGACACAGTTCAAACAATCAAATCTTCATTTTCTACCTAATGAGACTTTTCTCTCCTCACTACCCCTCCAGTACACTTCGTTTGTCCTGGTGAACTTGCTTTAGTCTTAACATTCCCTTCCCCTGCCTCGGGCACTCTTGTTGTCACTTGGAATCCCACTTTTATCACATAAGTAAACTCCATTCCTTCATGAAATTTTCTCAGAAATCCTTACCTTCTGGATACCAATGACATTTTGTATGGAATAGCCTTCATGTTAAATAAGAAACAAGAGATGGAAACAACAAAGGGAGAAGACCTATCTTCAAGCCGTATTTCTATTCCTTTTCTAGGACGAGAATAGAATGTAAAGACTTTGTATTTGCTGGGATCTACCTTCTTTCTGAATATCTAGCCCACATCCTCTGGTTTACCAGCAGAAAAAAAGGAAGGTGAGCGGCCCTCTGGCAAGTGAGAAGGACTCCTGGCCTACGGAGACATCCTGACTGCTCAGGTTAGAGCAATGTCAACTTTGAAATATGGAATAGTAGTATCAGGTCATAACTAGCCTATGAAATAACATGTGACTCTTCACCTATGTATTACTAATACTAGCAACCAAAAGCAGGCTGCTGTTTTTTTCTTATACTTATTAATGGTGTCTTAGTAACATGAACACTTCATCATAATTAAGTTCAATTAACATCAATAAAGGACACATCAACAACTGATTAGTTCTATGCATATAGCCAATGAATGACACTCAAAAAAACCAATAAAATCCATTGTTTACAGATAATAAATATATCCAGAATTTTCCGTTAGATCAAAATTTCCTTTTCCTGAGTTTCTCTGTTCTAGAGCACAATTTATCATTTCATATACAGGAACTTACTAAAATCAGTTAAAGAATCCATGGGGACCGAAGCTCACCAAGCTCAATATATTTTTACATCACTGACATCTCTAGCCTGCACAAGGCAGCTGTGAACCATCAAGCCCTGGGAGCCAGGCACTGGCAGTAATGAATATGGACTGTGAAGAAATATGGACTGCAGTGACACTGGGGTGACATTCCAGAGCCATCCTCAACAGTGTGTCTTATCTTTGAAAAGACACATACTCCTCTGGGAGTCTCCCCAGGTAAATGCATTTAAATTCAAACTACTGCATATAATTCTTAGACTCCATGAAACCTATCCAGTGAATTCTCAGAGGTTCAATACCCCAGATTGACGTGAAGAACTGTTGATCTACACTTCTACCACATACCCATTTTCTCCTACTACGGAAGAGTCTGCAGCACACCCCTTCCCAATTCCCTTCTCACACTTTGGCTACAACAGTAGACAGGTATGTGTGTTGTGAGGAAAAGGAGGGGCTGTAGTCTGCTTGCAGCCTAGTGAGGAGACTATACTTCTTTAATTATTGCCCTTGTTTTTAGTTATTTCAGGGTTGGTCCACAGAACGTCAGGGGGAGCATAAAATTTCTTCTCTCCTTATAAGAATCCCAAGATCGGTCAGTTGACCAGAAGCATAAAGAAGATTTTGTACAGTCAAATATGCACTGGGAGAATGCGGCAGAATTGGCAGTCTGCTGGTCTCTCTGTAATATCACATTAAGGAAACCACCTGGAGGTTGACATTGGCCCCATCCCTTCCCAGGGAACAGATCTGGTTCTAAAACACAGAAATGCCTACAAGGAAGATCTGGAATTAAAATAGTTCTCATCACATAAAATTCCTCTTCCAGTTCCTAGATAAAGTGGCGACTCTGTATCAAGGCCAAAGAGCTGAAGAAAGAGGACTCCTCTTGGCTGGGGTCTCATATTGCTCTTGCAATTCAGTTTCATCTCATCTTTGCTCTTTCACTCTGTGGGTACCAAGAGCCTTGCCAGGTATGAGGAAGTATCCATTACTGTTACTTATTCTGACTATATTGCACAAACATGCCAAGTAAAGATGGAGCGGAGGCCTTCGCAATGACTTTTGCTTTGGACAGATGAATGGCTGAAGTCCATCTAGTCCCTCAGTTGTACCTGTTTGTATTCCAAGCACCGTGAACATAGACGTTCAGAATCCCTTCGAAATCAAGATGCCAAATATCTGAAGTCATTCCCCAGCTCTGACAAAACTTGCCTTCTGTAATCTGGAGAGAAAGCAAGAATTTGTGAGTACTGCTGACCACATCTGGAGCTGCCTTGAGGCTGGCCATCAGAACCTTGAAACCACAATTTTCACTGAGGATCTAAGCCTCAGACCACCTTTTAGTTGCTTGGGGATACTAAGGGTTCAAGGTGACGTTAGGGATGTGAAAAAGATGCTGCAAGGCCCCAAGAGACCAGATGCCGTGGTAAGCTAGGGTCGCCACTAATTTTTCATGATGACTTCTTCACAGGACTCGCTCAAGCACAAGCAAAGGAGCCACCAATAATCAGGTGTGTACTATACACAGATTGCACCTGCTGGGAACAGGTCATGGTCCTCCTACACAAACCCACATACAAAGGTCCCAGAGCTTGGCATTTTGGTCCAGGCTTAGCGAATTCCTTCCTGCTGTCAGCATGAGGACAGAGAGGGTTGGCCCCCTCAGGTGAGCTGTTATACCCCGAGTCCAAAGCAGCAGATCACAGGCCTCCTCTGCTGCCTCATGCCATACTTCAAACACGATGGCTGGGCTTACACACCTAACCTACTTGAAGCTTCTCTCTCCATGTTCTCTCTTCACCTCTATATGGGCTGGAGGCTGGCACGGACACTCCAAGCTAGAGAACAGCTAGGGGCTGCCACAGGGGATCCTGGGCAAATAATTAGCTAAAGCATCTAGATTAGCAAATGATGGGGAACACACAGGCCAAAAAAAGGACGAAATTTCCAAAAGGTAAATTTCTATGTATTCACATCTGATCTTCCAAAGGTGTGTAAACAATTTTTTTCCTACCATCCCCCATCATTTGCATAAATTTTTGTCAAGTCCAAATATAATTTTAAATGAGGTAGGTAGTTCCTTGCTTCTCATGTCATTGTCTCTGTGGTGACTGTCGAGGCCTGGGCAGTGAAAGCACTGGTCTCCCAAACAGGGCAGTGCCAACGGTGGGCCCCAGTGATGGTGCCACTTCTCAGTTGGCTATTTTCTCAATCTCGTCCAAATCATCCGTGTCCAATCTTTCTATCTTCTTATCTGGGGGGTAAACAAGATTTGAAGAGAGATCAACATGGGGTTACTGTGGACACTCAGCTGAAGCCACCCAGGAAGGGGCAGCACAGCAGGGAGAGAGAATGACAGGGCTCTGCCCTGCCCAGGAGTGGGACACATCTCGGGCCACAGCGATCCTTCGCTTGCCCCCAAAGGCTTCCAGTGCCTGAGCAATAGGGCCCTGGTCACTGACAGCAACAGTCAGAGCCCCAGGCTCCCCAAGCCCGGCCACAGGGGAACTGTCATTTGAGTCCCCAAGTCCCGAACTCTCCAGGTGTGCTGCCTGAGAACTTCCACACTGGAGGAAAGATATGTGCACAGGGACAAAGGCCTCTCTCAGGGCCACAGGAAAACCTATCCTTTTCCCCTCCTCTCCCCACTGACTTCTCCCACTCAGGAAAGGGCACCAGGCAGAGGACCCTCCAGGGACTCACTAAAATGCTCCTGGATTCTGTTCAGAACATTCATGCTGTGCTTGCTGTCAACCTATCATTACATCAGCCTCATCCAGGACAAACACCTTGATCTTTCTGGGGTCAATGAACTTGAGCTTAGAGCACCAGTCCAGGACAGTCCCAGGCGTGCCAATGACAATCTGCTCACTGATCTTCTGACCTCTTTCCACTGTGAAGACCCAAGATGATTTCCATGGTTATATCCATAGCAAAGCCTGCTCTCCTCTCTAAGAACTTCTAAAGCTATTATGTATTTTAATGCAAATGTCTTGCTGTTTGCATTAATATTTAAGGAAAAGTTAGGATATCACTACAGTATTTAATGACCACAAAAACAGACAAAAATGCTGAAAAGATACAAGTATCTGATATCTTTATTTTTTTTCTCAGTCAACGTCAGTCCACCTAGACCAGAATTTTCTCTTCAGAACTGACCTGAAGTTGGCATTAGTTCATTGAATGTAGAATTGATTTCTGCAAGTCATAAAATCACATTTGTTTGAAAGATCCATAAGACTCAACAAAGTCTCAACAAGTAAACTTCTTCAAAGTTCTTATCTTGCCCATGCACTCTGTCCCCTCGGCTATACTGACATCTATTTCAAATAAGTCAGTTGTGTTTCCTCCACCCAAGTCAATAAACAGGATTTATCATGAAAAGCTTTATCTTCTGAAAGAAATACAAACTGCCTCTCTTAGGAAATGTGGTTCCCCGACGAGGACTGGCAGACCGTGACATATTCTCAGTTCTGTTTAGTCCAATATTGACAAGAATTTGGCTCTTCATTTTGAATTAGATGGGACCCAGTGATTCGCCTTTAAGTCCCTGAAGAACTAGAACCTTGACCAGAGATGCACAGGCTCTCTCTAGTCACAGACAAAATTCTGCCCAAATGTAAATGTTGTGTCAATTCTGACTTCAGTTAAATAAACCAATTACTGTCCCCAACAAAAAATTTTTTAGAATTCTCTATCTTTCTTTCTTTTTTTTTTTTTTCCCCCAGATAAAGATGACCGGTAAGGGGATGTTAACCCTTGAATTGGTGTTGTCAGCACCACGCTCAGCCAGTGAGCGAACCGGCCATCCCTATGTGGGATCCGAACCCGGGGCCTTGGTGTTATCAGCACCGCACTCTCCCGAGTGAGCCACGGGCCGGCCCGAATTCTCTATCTTTCTAACACAAATCCAAATTGCAAAATTTTAAGTATCTTATGATTATCTTCCAAAAAGTTTCATTATCTCATTTACTTTTCAGAACTGACCTTTAGTTGGCATTAGGACATTGTGTATGTAGAATGGATCTCTGTAAGTCATAAAGTCACATGTTTGTTTTAAAGATCCATAGGACTCAACCAAACTTTATTTTTATTTTTTGGTGGCTGAGGGATTCAACCAAAGTTCTAACAACGCTTTTTAAAATACTTAAATATTGTTAGTTGTAAGATAAACTAAAGTAGAAAAGATGGATAAAGAAAAAAGAATAACAAAATAAGCCCCAACAGTCAGTCACCATTACATTCTAGGTTTTCTTTCTTCTAATGACATGAGAAAGAAATTAGGCAATTAAACAAATCCAGAGTGTGGAAGTTTTTATAAGTAACTGGTCTGATATGTCCAAAGAGTCAAATGTAATAGAGGAGGAAAAGGTGGGGGAACAATTCTAGACTGAAGGAAAGAAAGAGATAAACTACAAAATGCAACACACAAACACTAATTTGATCTTGGTTCAAAAACAAAACAGCCATAAACACTTTTGGGACAATTTAGGAAGAATGAAAGTAGACTGGATATCATTCTAGAGAATCTGTTAATTTTCTTGGTTGTGATAAGGGTATCATTGGTATGCCAAAGAATGTCTTTATGAGATGCACGCTAAAGTATTTAGGAATAAAAAGAAAATACTAAAAAAAAAAAAAAAATTTACCAAAAAAAAAAAAGGGAAGAAAACAATAAAAAAGCATTTAGGAATAAGGAATTACATGTCTGCAATTACTCTGAAATGGTTCATCAAAAATAAATACAGATATACAGATAAAGCAAATATGGTCCAGAGTTCAATCCCTGTACTGCCCAGCTGCCAAAAAAAAAAAGAAAAAAAAAAAAGATAGAAAGCAAACATGGCAAAATATTAACTTTTTAAATCTAAGTGGAGAGCATACACGTATTCATTGTATTATTTCAACTACTTGGTATGTTTTCAAAATAAAAAGTAATTAGGTTAATGACTTATGATCACATACTCACATTTATTGCCTCGAACAGCATAAGCTAGCTTCAGTTCAGGGTAAAATTTGCCCATCTGTTCAATCACTTTTCCTGTTTGAAGGGCGAGCTCATATGTTGGGGAGAGGCACAGACACTGGTAGGGAAAGAGTTCAGAATGAGAATTCAAGACATTCGCTCTTTTTTGTTTGTTTGTTTGTTTTTAAAGATGACCGTAAGGGGATCTTAACCCTTCACTTGGTGTTGTCAGCACCACGCTCTCCCAAGTGAGCCACGGGCCGGCCCCAACAATCGCTCTTCTGTAAAGGGGAATTATCATTAGGACTTAGTCATTGCTCCAGCTGAGGATGAAGGAAAAAACAGGTAAATTGAAGTGTATACCATTTGATTCTTTCAGCTGTAGAGTCATAGCTAGAATTCTTAGGGGTCAAAACTCTGACTGGGTAAAGACACTTGAAAATAGCTATTTCCCACTGGAGTACAATAACCTACCCATGAGCAAGGACCTGAAATTCCAATTGGAGATTAGCTTCTGTTTCACTTTCTCAGACAGTTCTCAACTTTTTAAAAGATTACAATTGCACAGTTGTAGATGAAGGAGGTTTTCCCTGAAAGTAAAGGAGCCGAGCCTGTCACCAGTATCCCAGAACTGGCAAACCATGGAAAGGAGAACAGGATTTCTGTTCCCAGAAGATCAACCATATTGTTCGTGCTCAACTTAAGGAGTTCTAGTTTATGTAGAAAGTAATACACAGCTTAGCTTTTAATCAGTCAAATGGGATTCCCCTTTTAGCTATGTGTTAGTAGAAAACCCAAACTCACCAAGTCCTTACCTGAGGATATCTGTTTGCAGGTTCTACTTGGCTGAGCATGGCCAACACAAAGGCAGCTGTTTTACCAGTACCAGACTGAGACTGGGCAATTAAGTTCTGTGGGCTACACAAGAAAAACTGTTTAGGAGCTTAAATCTCAAGTAAACTTTTAGTTAGTAAAAACGAAGAATGAAGCTTAAAAAATTAGTATTCAAAATTCATTTATAGAAGGAGATCTTGGATTCTGTAGCAGGGTTATATATGATAGCTTCACAAGTACAAAGCACTATAGAGAGAAGATTTTCTGGTGGGATTTGAAGCAATCTTTTTTTTTGTCCTTTTTGAGACTGGCCGCACTGCGCTCAGCCAGTGAGCGCTGTGAGCGCACCGGTCATCCCTATATAGGATCCAAACTATATCTTTTATCTATTCTCTACATGGCAGCAAGTGATTCTTTCAAAATGTGAGTTGGCTTGCATCACTTGCCTGCTCAGAAACCTTCCAGCCACTCCTCATTTCATTCAGAGTACAAGTTAAAATTCTTACAATGGCCTGCGATGTCCTAACTAATCTGTCTGTCTCCACATACCTATTGGCTCTCAAGTCCTACTACTCTCTCTCTCCTTTACTCAACTCAATCCACTCCACCACAATGGCCCCAATGTTGCTCTGAAAACATGCTAGCCATGTTCCTGTCTCAGGGCTTCTGCAATGGCTGGACTCTGCCTGGGACAATTGTCCCCAGATGATAACATTCTAACTCTCTCCTCTCCTTCAAGTCTTTCCTTGGATATCACCTACTTGATGAGATGTTACCCTAATCCCTTGATTTAAAAGTGTAACCTAGTGGCTGGCATGTTAGCTCAATTCGTTAGTGTGGTGCTGACAACAACGAGGTCAAGGTTTTTACCCCTGTACCAGCCAGGAGCCAAAAAATAAAATAAAAGTGTGACTATTTTGAAATGCCTTAAAAAGAAACATGTAGGCTTCTAATGGCAGCATCTGAGGAAGTCATGGCTAGAGCCACGCCCAGCCTTAAAGAGGGCAAGAAGAAGCCCCCGAAGCAGCCCAAGAAGCAGGCCAAAGGATGGATGAGATAGATGAGGCTTTTAAGCAGAAACAAAAAGAGCAGAAGAAACTCAAGGAGCTAAAGTGAAGGCCTTGGGAAGGGACCCCTGGCTACAGGTGGAATTAAGAAATCTGACAATAGGTGGCCAGTTAGCTCAGTTGGTTATAGCACAGTGTTATAACACCAAGTCAAGGGTTTAGATCCCCATACCGGGCAGCTGAGCCCCCCCAAAAAAGAAGTCTGGCAAAAGTAAGCTGTTCCTTATGCCTGAGGCGATGGTGACCTTTGATTCCATTCCTATTTAAATATCTTGATTCCCTGCTATAACATCTGTTGCCAGTTGTAGTTAGAATGAAGCATTGTCTTGGAGCCTGTTGTACATTTAAGAATAAACTTTTGCTTAGAAAAACTCAAAACCAGAAAAAAAAAAAAATCCCAATAGGATGTACTGGTGGAAAAACATGGCTATATGTTTGAATATTTTCACACTAAAATGTTGGGGGTAAAAATTGCAATCAGGTCCTTGGTATTTCTCATCTCCCCTATCATGGTCTATTTATTTTTCTACATAGCACTTATCATCTTTTTTAACAGCTTTATTGAGATATTTCACATACCATACAATTCATCCATTTAAGGTATATATTTCAATGATTTTTGGTATATTACATTATTATTTTTTTAATTGTAGTAAAAAATATATATATCATAAAATTTGCCATTTTAACCACTTTTAAGTATATATCTTTTTTTTTTTTTTTTTT